AGAATTCTATTCTGTTCTATTCTATATGAAATGCACGTGGTGTTATAGTTTGTTGATATGAATGTACTTTGTGCATAGAAAGTGCCATATTATTGGCTGAGAATTTAATTTGCAGAATATATTAGATAGATTGTATGATAAAATCTATACAAGAACCATGGACCTCAAAATTTTAGAGACCAAAATAGTTTTGTTTGAGAAAGAATATGTAGTGAATTATTTTAAGTTATATATAATAAACAATTAGAGCCAATATATTAATCTGTATATCTTAATAAAATGTTAACTGAAACTGGAAATCAAGAATAAAACATAATCTGTGAAGCAGGGCTGGACCTATCTATATAGGTCTGTTAGAACAGAATAAAAATACAATATAAATGCAATACAAAGTAAGTTATCTACAAACATTAAAATAGAATGTAAATAAACCAGCAGGTATTGCAAAGGCAGGGATGTGGTGGCTGAGTGGCTAAGACGCTGAGCTTGTCAATCAAAAGGTCGGCAGTTCAGCGGTTTGAATCCCTAGTGCTGTGCAACGGGGTAAGCTCCCATTACTTGTCCCAGATTCTGCCAACCTAGCAGTTCAAAAGCATGTAAAAAAAAATGCAAGTAGAAAAATAGGGACCACCTTTGGTGGGAAGGTAACAGCGTTCTGTGCGCCTTTCGCATTTAGTCATGCCGGCCACATGACCATGAAGATGTCCTCGGACAGTGCTGGCTCTTCGGCTTTGAAACGGAGATAAGCACCGCCCCCTAGAGTAGGGAACAACTAGCACATATGTGCAAGCACATACTGTATGTTAACTTATTGCAAAGGCAGTAATTATGACTAAAACTACTTAAAATGATTGTAGAAAAGAAAAAGAAATCTTTGCCTACAATTTACGTACCAAGAAACCTCGGGTGAAGGATGTTCCATAAATTGGATGTCATTACTAAAAGCTTTCTCACCTGATCTCACTATATATTTAAGGTGACCAGATTTTAACATTGGTAAAGCGGGACACCCACCATTTTGTGGGCGGGGCTTGGAGGTCATGTGACTGGGTGGGCGTGGCTAGCTGGTCATGTGACCGGGTGGCCATGGCTATGTGTATAGAAAAAAGTCATTTCTGACAGGTCCTCGCACTTTTGACTGGTCCTCACACTTATGACCATCCTCACATTTATGCCCGTGCAGCATTCTTAACAACCATGTCACTCATTTCACAACTGCTTCTCTTCACCATGATGACAAGATAGGGCAAAAATGTAAAATGTGAGGACAGTCGTAAGTTCGAGGACCAGTCAAAAGTGTGAGGACCAGACCAGTCAAAAATAACTTTTTCAGCCCTCTGAGTAGTCCATATGCATAAAAGGATACAGCAATAGAGAGGGATGAAGGAAGGGAAGGGAAATTAGAGTAGGAGTGAGGGTAAGAGAGGGAGGAAGAGAGGAGGAGAAGGAGAAAGGAAGAGGAAGTAGGGAGGAGAAGAAGGGGGGGAGAGAAAGTAAGAAGGAAAGAAAAGAGAGAGGTGGTAGGTTTGAGGAGAAAGATTGCTGTACAAAAAAAAAGATGAAAGGGAAGAAAGCCAACCCCAAACAAATATAAAGATATTAAGATAAAGAATGAATGGTTAAACTTTAAAGAATAAAAGAGAACAAATATGAATAAATAGCAATAATTAGAAACACACATACAAACATACAATGTATTTTCTTTGAACAGAATATTTGGCTGGTTCACAAATTTAAACAGTGTTTAGTCATTTCAATTAAATTCACAATTTCTATATTTCCTTTTTGCCATATTTATTCCTCATCTATTTTTTTAAAAAACGAATATTACCCTTCATCCTCATCTCTAATCTTAATCAAATTCAATTTTTCCCTTCTATTCTATATTATACCCCTTCCCATTGTCATCTATTTTTATATCCATCCTCACATTGGTTAATTATGTAATTATGTAATACAGTTGTTTAATACAAATTCAACATTTTAATATAAATCAATTAGTTATATAACTATCTTTTTTGTATATTAATCAATATGAACATGAATAATATTCCAATTATTTCCATGCAATCCAATTTCTTACAAATCAATTATATTTACCAATAATAATAAACCAAATAATTTCCCCCATATATTCCTCCAAACCACAACTTAACCATTTCTGCTTTCAACACAATATACAATTAATAGTATCTCAATTATTACAATTCTCTAGTTAAATAGAGCTTTTTGTCTTTTGTGTTTTAAAATCTTGAACTCTCCTCTTTTGCCCTAAATTTCCCATTGTTTGCAGTTTTGCACCTACCTTTTTTGGTGAGGAAAAAGAAAAAGAAAAAGAAATCTCTCTCTGCCTCATTTTGCCACATTGTACCCTGCTTTACTTTCAGTTTCGCTTTTAAAGCATAGTTAGGGGGGAAAAAATCTCCAGCACTCTGCAGCTAACAACTACAGAGCCCTGAGCAAAACAGCTGAGAGCAAATCAGCTGAGAGTCGGGAAAGCCAATCTAATCAACTTGTGCTAATTAACCTATGCTGAAGCTTTAAGGGGCTGTTTTTTCTATTTTTGCAGGCATCGGTCTACTCATTTGTTTTCTTTTAACACTGATCAGCTGTAGGATGGCCCTTTGAAGCCCCGCGGCAAGAGTTTAAACAGTTTTTTTCCCTCTAGCCATAAGCTGGGACTCAGGAGGCAGCCGGGAGCAACCCACCACTGCGCCGTGCATTCTTTCCAAAAATTGGGACTTTTTAAAAATGGTGCGGGACGCGGGACAAATTGTTCAAAAGCGGGACTGTCCCGCCAAAAGCAGGACGTCTGGTCACCTTATATATATTGGAACCTGGAAAATTGCCTCATGAAGGCCTCAGTAAAGACTCCTTCAGGTAACCTGAATTTCAGTTAAATACTTAACAGAATAGGAAAGGTAAAATAGCAAAAACCGAGCCCGAAACTTTTTCCAATGGTTGACAGGTTTATCGTATCAATGCTATGCAATGACATCTTATTTTGCTCAGTTGTCCACTATGTCAGTTAGAAGGAGACTGATGTAACCAACTGAAATTCAGGACTAATGTGAGGCTGAAGTGGCTGCAATCCTCTGGACACCCTCTAGGGCAGTAATGGTTAACCTTTTTGGTGCAGTGCCTAAAGCGTGCACATGTGTGCGTAAATGCACGTACATGTGCCAGAACCCCCAAAATGCAATGCAAGCGCTCCCCGCGCATGCACCTCCTGCACCAACCTGGAAGCAAAAACGGGGCGCAGGGGCACCGTGCAAGGGCCCCCGCACCCCATTTTGGGCACGGAAAGCCTCCTGCACCAACTTGCACACCCTCATGCATGCACTCCCCCACGCATATATCTCCCGTATGCAACCCGCCCCACACGCATGCATGGCAGAGACCTGAAGACCAGCTTGCCAGCGGGAGGCGTGCGCGTACGCACAGTGGAGCTGGGCTGGGGCGCCAGCTGGCGTGCCAGCAGAGAGGGCTCTGTGTGCCACCTGTGGCACGCATGCCATAGGTTCGCCATCACGGCTCTAGGGGCAAGGTTAGAATGATGTGGTATATATGTGGGAAATCAATAGTCTAAATCAGGGTTCACCAACCTTTTGGACCTCCGGGACCATTAAATTCATAATTTTAAATCCCGCGGACCACTAATATGATCTGCCTAATGACTGGCTGGGTGGATATAACTAGGTGGTCACATGACTGGGTGGGCGTGGCCAAATCAATCTCACTCATGTCAAGGGGCGCTTTGCCAGCCTCTACTAGCCCCTCCCCTGCCAGCCACTCCTTGCCTCCCCGCCTGGGTTCTTTAGGGTCCCAACAGGAAGCAGTTGTTGGAGCTAAGCAGCCACCATGAGAAAGAGTTGGCAAAACAGTTCAGTTCAAATTGGATCTGACGAGAAGGAGGCTCAGTAGAAGCACCTCACTGAGGATTACGAGCATAGGCTTTCCAAGCAGAGGGAAGACCTGCGGGAGTGCAAGGCCAGGTACTAGCGCCTAGAGGCTCAGCGGGCTGAGATGGTCATCCAGTTCCAGGCCATGATGCAGTCCCACTGGAATGAGGCCCTCCGGCTCTTTGCCACCAGCGGTGCTTCCCTCCAGTCTTCACCCAAAGCCCCACACCAGGAGGCTGAAGCAGACCCCAAGTTGGAATTTCTGCCCCCCTCTGCCCCACACAAGAAGACCCCGAAGGGAGAGACTCTGCAGCAACACAAACATTCATTGCACGTATCTGTCCTGTAGTTTTAGGACCCCTGATTTAGTGCAATATAAAAAATGCAAATAATTTTTCTGTGGACCACCAAAATTTTCTTGCGGACCACCAGTGGTCCACGGACCACCGCTGGTCTAAATGCAAGGAATTAGAGCAGTTTTTCAGCTTTGGCAAATTTCAGATATATGGACTTCAAGTTCCTGAATTCCCCAGAGAGCATCCATACAGTTCATACATCTTAAAGGTTGAGATACCCTAAATTAGAATATGCACAATGGGATTAAAGGGAAAGTATATGCAGGAGTGTTGGGATGGATGGGATATGGAAGTGCAAATGAAGGAGGTATTCTAAAAGCAGTGCAATAAATGTCTCTAATTTGTGGAAATTGCATGTGTCATCTGCAAGGGTGGCTTTCTATTTGGGGATATATAAAAATGTGGGTGTATATAAACCATAAGTAAAACAAAAATGTTCACATGGTGTTAATTATCTTTGTGTGCCATGATCTTGTTTTTCTCCACCACCCTCCTGCCCCCATTGGCTTACTGTGAAGCAAAGAAATACATATTCAACACTGCAATCATAGTATCAACTGTCATTGGAAACCATTGTTTATAGCATGCACTTAATATACAACTATCTACAACCGTTCCTTTCACTGAAATTGCAGATGTATAATATGCAAAGGACATTAAATGGCCCTTTGCTAGCTATATCTCCTAAATAGGTGAGGAAAATACATTCCCGTACAAGGTAAAGCATTAAAATCAATTGTACCACTGCACTTCAGTGTTCCCAAAAGATCGCCTGGGCGATGAACGGGGCTCGGCTGCTTCCGTAATAAGGAGAAAGTATCCAGATGACATGGCGGTTTAGCAAACTGCTCCTGACTGGACTTTTTGCCATTAAAGAGAGATGCGGCTCCCGTTTGAATTAGGTTTATGATACTGCGAAGCGTTAGCTTTCAGTTTTTTAAAAAATCAGATCTCACCCAAATTGCTCGTGATCACAGGAAATTAAAAATAAAAGACTGGAGTGAGACTTTAGTTTTTCTGTTCTTTAGCTTTTGATATATAGGGGATGGGATGTTAGAAATTGCGAGAGAAAGCATTTCTGAAAGCAGGAATCTGATGTCGGCAAATCAATAGCAAAGCAGGGTTTGTGTCAGAAAGGAGATTTAAAGAATATTAATCACAGAGATCAACAAACCCGCTACATCCGTTCAAAGACCACATGCTCTATGCACGTGCCCAAGAAGAAAGGAAGAAGGAAGTCACCTCTGATTAGGAGTTTCACAGAGAAAGAGCATATAGAGAGATTGACGAAGAAGGGACACAAGTACTGTAAATCCTTAACTCTCTATCTACACCCTACTGCCCTCTTGTGGTCAGTGAATCTGACCGCCAAAAGTTTGAAGAGGATGTTTGCAAGAACAGTACCGCTAAAAATCTAATCCAAATCTCTCCGCATTCCCATGCAAATAATATCAAATCCCCCTTTGAGGTAAAAGGATTTTCTCTTACAGTTTTGTACATTATTCACAGAAACAAGAGCCTAACAGGGGGAAAAGGTTAAGAGGAGAACAACATATGGATTTGTCCCACAGGCACCCAAAATTAATAGGGAGTTGCTGCACAGAATAACAATTGCACAACCAAAGAACTACTTTGATATAAGCTTCCTAAAAGCATCTGCCTGGGTACTTTGGAAAAGGCATACTGGATTCCACAGATGTTTGGACTTCCAGCAAAAGGTGAATTATTGAAAAGTGTTTATAAGTACAACTTGTTCCCAGAGTTTAACCTCAACTCTATAAATTCAAATGGCCCATTTCAAGGTCCATTCCAGGGGTGAAATATTCCCGGATCGGACCGGATTGCCCGGTCCGGTAGCAATCTTGGCCGTTTGTTCAGCGATCTGGTAGCGATGGCAGAGCAAAGCTCCACCAACCCACCTGGGTGTGATTACTTCCTGGTTTTAACCAGGAAGTAATGTGTTTTATGCATGCGCAGAAGGTCTGCGGCCTCATGACGTGCACGCTTCCGAACTGGTAAGGAAGGTAAGTAGATTTCACCCCTGGTCCATTCAACATACTCATCTAAAAATGTCTTCATGAATCTGTAGAATTGTTTCTAATTGTGTGTGCTTGTTCTATTAGACTTAGTCCAGTGGGTATGCTCTAGGTTGCATAAAAATTCAAACATACTGTAGGTCTACAGAGCTCTGCCTCATCTGGGGCTGCCTTTGCCCTGTGATATAGTATCCTCCTCCACTGAAATCACATGACCCAAGATTATATGTCATTTAGTAAGAGAGAGAGAGAGAGAGAGAGAGAGAAAGAAAAAGAAAGAAAGATTGTTTATTAAAATAAAATTCATTTGTGAACACCTAGAAATGAGCAAATGTTTACTAGAAGCCAGACCTATTGCCTTTGTAGGAAGAAAAATCCATCTGGTTCAATTCCGAGCTCGAAGAAAGGTGCTGGAAATAAAATGGAGGCTGCTTGGAAAGAAGGATTGCGTTTATTGATGAGCAGGACCAGCATGTGGTTCTGGGACAGTTGACAAATTAGTTTGATGAGTGCAAGGATTTTTATAGTTTCTGAAATGCTACAGGGGTTGTGCAATGTAGTGAGCCCAGAGGTGAGATTTACTTACCTTCCCTACTGGTTCGCAAATGTGAGCGCGTGCACGCTCACTTCTCTTGCATGCACCACCTCTGCGCATGTGCATGGCCTGTAATGCGCAGTAGTCGTGCATTGCGTCCAGGTGGGTGGGCGGAGCCTCTCACAGTTGCCGCTACTGGTTCACATGATCCGGACAGAACCGGATGAATCCCACCACTGAGTGAGCCTGGTATCTTTTGCTATTCTAATGGTGGTGGGTTAATCTTCTTTTTTTTTTTTGAACAATTTTTTTTTATTTTTAAACAAACATAAATAAAACCATCTTCAATTGCAAACAGTGTGTCGGTTGGTTATTAATGTGTCGGTCTTTTGTGCATCATTCACCAAATTCATAGCTTACAATTTACAGTTTACCTAAATTCTCATATCATTGACCTAATAAATATCTATATATTATTATCCTCATTATGTTCTGTCCCCGTACCACGCACACACCCAACCAGCCAGCCGAGGGTTAAATAAACTCTTCAAACACTCAACGTCAGTGATAAGGAACTTGGCAGCAACTCCGTGGCTGCCTGCCAAGAACTTTTACTCTGATAACACAGACAAAAATACACACAGTTTGAATAGTCCAGTTTGTAATTAAATCCACAGCAAATAGGTGTTGTGTCCGAAGGTGCAAAGTGCCTCGCCAGAGATTAGCTTTGTCCGTCACAGAGTCCAAATGGCCACCACACTCCCTTTTATAGCCTGTGGGGTGTGGTCCAGTGACTCAGCTTAATCTCTGGCACGCCTCCTTTTCTGCTGCGCCCGCTTGTCTCTCCGATGCTGGCGTGGGTCCAACCACAATGTTTCTTCGTCACTATCCGACGGCTTGGAAACACCTGGCTCCTGGCCAATCACTTCTCCTTCGGGAGACACCTGAGGCATTGCCAGAGAGGAGGGTCCCAGAGAGGGAGGCCTGGCCGTCTCCTCTCCTTCATGTTCGGAGCCTTCTTCCTCCGATAAGATAGGCTCGGAGGACGGAGCCACAACACATTAATCATTTATTTGACTATGGCTATTTCTTCTCTCATTATTTAAAATATTCTAAGATTTGAGTTAATTTTTATTATAACATTAATTTCATCCTCCTGAATCTATCCAGTAATAATACTGTTATGTCTACCTGCGCGACTGCGGGACGTACGTGACCAATGGAAAAACAGACTAAGAACTAGGAGGGGAGGGGTGTTATGTCCTTATATGGGCATCCCCACCGGATTGGTTAGTCCACCAGTGGGAGTTTTGAAGATCTGTCATTGGCCGGCCTGCCTGCCGACTCCCTTTATAAGGCGAGCCCAGCAGCACAGTCCGAGTTCTGATTCTCTCTAATAAAGTACTGAACGGACCACTCGCTGCTCGCGTATTCTTTTCCCTGCGCCAATCTAACACTGGCGACGAAGGATTTCAAGAACCACAGCGAAGAACCTCGTGGCACGATCGCCACCCAGCCCGACTCAACAGAGCAAGTCACTGAGCTGGAGTCACTTAGAGCTGATAGCACGAGAACCATGGCAGTGCCACAAATCTCGCTGGCACCATTCAACCCCGATCAGGAGAAGTGGAAAGCCTATATGATTAGGTTCCGCCAATTCCTGACCAGCAACGGCTATGAAGACCTGGAGGACAACCGCAAACGAGCCTTGTTCCTGGCACATTGCAGATCGGCAGTCCTGGAGCTGGCCATCGACCTCGTGGCACCCCAGGACATCGAGACCATGGCATGGAGCGACCTCCAAGATGTTCTCCAGGAACACTATGCCCCAACTGGCACACCGATGGCGAACAGATTCACCTTCAGCCAACGGAACCAACAGGAGGGCGAATCCATAAAGGACTTCGTGGCTGCACTGCGGAAGTTGGCTGCCAACTGCGAGTTCGATCATGTGGACAACGCCATCTGAGATCGCATCGTCTTTGGGATGCGGGACATCTCCCTGCAGAGAAAGTTGCTGAGCAGGAGAAAGGTCTCGCTAAAAGACGTGTTTGAAGAGGCCACAGCCGCAGAAACATCAGAGGTGGCAGCGGCAGCGATGCAGAGAGCCAAGGCAATCCACAAAATCAAGAAAGCTCCCCAGACCTCATCCGGAGAATCCACCACGGGATCCAAGTCGGACGAGGAAATGGCGGTCCATTAAGGTCTCCAGGCCACCAAGATGCGAAGCCACACAAAATGGCGACCGAGGGGAGAGCTGTACCAGCTGCAACAGCGACCACATGAGAGCCAGATGTCGGTGGAGAGATGTGACCTGCCGACGTTGCCAATGAAAAGGCCACATCGCTGAGGCCTGCAGAGCTCCAGAACCAGTCTGGGAGAAAGCCAAGCTGGAAAACCACGATCACTGGAGGACATCCAGATGGTCCTATCAACCAAGGCACGAGGGAGACGGGTACCTGCGAAGCAGAGCGGTCCACCAAACCACCATTGCCCAGACCGATGAGCACAATGCTACAAAGTTCATCGTGACCGTGCACGTGGAAGGGACTCCATGTGCCATGGAAGTAGATTCGGGCTCAATCTACTCCATCATGGACTGGCAGCATCTCAAAAAGCTGAAACCGCAAATCTCAAAGAGTCAACTGCAGCCGCTTCATGCAAGGCTCATCAATTTCGGCGGAAACCCCATCGGGGTCCTGGGGAGAGCTTCACTGAGTGTCAGCTACCACGGCTTCAAGGACGACTTACCCATCACCATCGTCAAGGACAGCTGCCCGACCCTGCTTGGAGTGGAGTGGTTTGAGCCTTTAGGGCTCTCAATCAGAGGAATCCATCAGATTCGGCAGGATGAACTCGACAAGCTCCTCGAAGAGTTCAAGGATGTCTTCGATGGCAGCTTAGGTAAATTCCTGGGGAAACCCATATCTTTCAATTTAGATCCCTCAATCACCCCAATTCGGCTCAAGCCTCGCAGGGTTCCATTTGCACTTCGGCCTAAGGTAGATGCTCAGTTGGATAAACTGATTGCCCAAGGCATATTGGAACCAATCGATCATGCTGCATGGGAGACCCACATTGTGACCCCAATGAAGCAGGATGGATCTGTGCACATCTGCGCTGATTATAAATGTTCCATTAACTGGGCATTACAGCAGAGCGCAAACCCAGTCCCAGTGGTGCAACATCTGTTGCATTCACTCGGGAGTGGGACCATATTTGCAAAACTGGACCTGGCCCAGGCTTACCA